GCAGGGCTCTGGCTCCGAGTGAGAGAGGTCTTGTCCCTTGGAAGCCTCTCAGAGCGGGGGCAGAGAGAGGAACGCCTCCGGAGAGGCGTTTGGCTGCCCCACGCTGACCTGCAGCTGCCCACCTGCTTCTTCTCTATGACTCGCGTGTTTCCTTCATGTCGACGTAAAATAATAAAGTAGGCTGTCCCCTCCAAACATTTTGGAGAGTAAGTCGTTGCCGTTGCTGTTACAGTCTTGCTTATTACCTGATGTCTCCTGTTTTCCCAGTCCCTCTCCCACGCTTCATTGCTTTTCTTGGTCATACCAATCACCAAAAAACCCCCTGCTGTGGACTGTGCCCTAGCTAGGTGGAGTAAGGGGAAAGGTTGGGTTTGTGTTCTGAAAGTAAGTGGTACGGGTATTGCTCCTGTACTGTCACTGCACTGTTAGGGAACTGTGCTTCAGGAAAGAACAAGTTTAAAGGCAGCAATTTTTTTTTTGAAGAGTTTTGTGTACCTGTGTCTTGACAAATGCAAGAAGGTGAAAAAGACCAAAGCATGAAGTAGGCAGATTCAAAAACGATACTGAAACTCATTGCCAAAGGAAGTAGGGGAGATAATGACTTATGGGATGGAAAAAAGACTATATAGCTAACAAAAGCATTTAGAGAGGTCTTTGTTAGTAAGTCTTTAGAAATATTAAATCTCTTGTTTCCAGTTTTAAAACATTCTTATAGACACTGGTGTGAATGTATAGTGAATGCAGCTAGTGCAGAAGACACTCTGGGGCTTTTAAACCATCTGCTTTCAGAGACAAAAGACTGTCATATTTGTGATAGCATTTATTCTTTTATGTTGGCATAATGTACAAGGAAAGTAAGGGGTCTTCATGGAGGCATGTTATACATAAACACTTTTAACTCCTTACCTTCGTAATTGCTCTGTCACAGTGAGGCGAGTCTCACTAGACTTTTGGCAAATCCTGTTGTACTTTCTTGCAGAGCTTATTGGAAGGTGAAGATGTGTACAGGCCTCTTGCATAGTTATATTTACTTTTATTTCTCTTAATTATTTGTATCCTTTTCTCTAGACAATGATTGCTTTCCAGCAGAAAATTTTACACTTGATCAAGTGTTTTAGAAGACAATGGCCTTTATTTTCAAACTCTGAAAGGACTACTCTATGTGGAGCAGACTGCATGCTGATGGCATTACAGCTGTCAATGGCTGAAGTCAATAAACAGGTTAGCATTCTTTCAGTATGTTCTTGGTACTTAGTACATCTCAAACTTGGTTCACTTACTGGAGTTTTTGCTTAGGCACCTACTTGAAATGGCTATTTTGGTCACTTCATTATTGTTTTAACTGAGGGTCAGATGCAGCAAGGCACTAAAATGAATAAGATTAAGTACACTGTTGAATCAGGGCTTAGAAAAAGAACCACAAGACAGATGGGAGGATGGAAGTGTTTTAAGTGTATATCTGAGTGCTAAACTTTAATATTAAATACCGATGTATTTTTCCTGATCGTGTAACTTCTGTATATTTCCATCAAATGTTTCTTCTGTGCTGTAGATCAGGGTGGGAGAACTATGGCACTTGGGATACATCTTTTTTCTGAATGCTCAAAAAATGCTTTGAAATGACATGGGAGGAATATGAGTATAAAACTGATCTGGTACAGGCTTCATGAGTTGTGCTTGCAGCAGTCCATTCTTGGCTGCTGTTTTTCCTGAGGCTCATCAGATGAAGACATATTCATATAAGTTGTGAGTGTGTACACAGTACCAGTAGGAGATATATGGCTGCCTTTGCATGTGTACAAGAAGCATCTGTCAAATGATGAATAGGAGATGTAACCCATAAGTGCCTCCGTAAGAAGTGCTGTGGCTTGTCACAGCTGGAAGGTTGAGCATTAGCAATCATCTGAAACACAGCAAAAACTGCTGTAACATACAGCCAGGCCTTTGCATGTGTCTCTTCTAATGAGAACAATTGCAATAGTCACTTTGATAATCTAAAGATATCTTTTTAGGTCAATAAGCTTAATTATGGATGAAAACGAATTACCATTGTTGGAAGACCTACCGAAGTGTTGCACAGTAAATTAAACATGTAGTACAAATCTTTACTTTAAAAAAAAAAAAAAAACCACAAACAATAAAACCACACCAAACCCAACCCCACCTGTCCCAAAGAAAAAACCCCAAACAAACAGAAAACCTGCTTCAGTTTGTGAACTCCTAGTTGCAATGTGTTATTTAAAAGGTTAGCACTTGTACTGGAAGAAGTTGATATCTTGGAAGAAATAGTTCCAGAACCAGTCTTTAACCTAACTGAATTCATCACCAGAAAAAGATTGTAGTCTGAAATGTGCAGAATGGGTCTATATCTTGTCTAAACATTAAGTATAAAACTGGTCAATTCATCCCAACTGTAATAAACATTATAGCAGAAACATTAGAATCCCAGGATTCTACACTTGTACTTCATAGGATGTAATATATTGTAGCCAGGATCCCAGTATCCTCACAGTACCCATGTAGGTAAAACCGTAAAATTACTGTGCATCAAAATGAAGTATCAGAGAACTGATGAAGGACAATAATGCAAAACTGACTGTGGAGGCAATCACTGTTTGTTGTGATTTTTCAAAGGAGAACTACAAACACTTTTCCAAAGGCAACTCTGGGAACTAAAATGTGTTATTCTGTTGGATGCCAAAAATTAGAAATTATAAAGATGATATTTTTATGGTTCATTGCTACTTCTTTCCTATCAGCTTAAAATAAACTCTTTTCTTCCCTTAGAGGGAACTACTTTATTCTTATTTTTCTCCTCCAGCAAAGATTCCTCCCCTCTAAAAGTATCACTTCTTTCAGAGATGATCTAACAAAAATGAAAGCAGTTATTTTCAACTCATTTAATTTCAAAATATACTGCTTTTACTTGAAATCAGAAGAAAGACCAAATGCTCAAAACATAATCAGAAAAAACATTTTTCATTCAGTTAAGTGTAATTCCTTTAAGTTGATTATATTTGCATCTGTGGATGCAGGAGGGGTAGAATATAGGTTATTAGGACAAATAATCACTTGTCATTTTCAGACCATGGCTGTTTTTAGCTAGTAGTGGAGGAAACTGAGGCAACATATAAGCCAATTGTTTTTCGTGAATCTGTGAATTTAAATTCTCAGACTTGTCTTAAATGTTTTGTAAATCTTTCATTTAACACTAGCACCATGAGACTGGAGGAAAA